TCGATTTATGAATTATGAAAAATAAACCTATGCCCAAAATGGCTCAGAGATAAGAGATTGAGAAGTAAACGTGGCTGAAATATTCGAGATAATGTCGACACTTGGACGAACAGCAAGTCTGGCTGACAAATAGAGAGGGATTTCAAAGGAATCACAAAGAAAAGCCGCCATTGGCGTCAGGCGATAACGAAGTTGGATATACGAAAATAATAGATGGGCTGCCCAGGTTCTGTTTTTGGCGTATTAAAAGTTTTTATTTGTCGACTGGCGTTGTTACTTATAGAGAAAATGTTTGTTTGTTTGTTTGTTTGTTTTCATTTCTTGATGTCATGATTTTATAAGTTAGCTTTGACTTAGTTTTTGCAGTATACTGATGGAAACTCTTCAGGGTTTTCCAACCTTTTTTGCTAATGGGCCAAATTAAAAATTCAGATATATTCACCAGTCCACTAATTACTTTATATAATTATGCTTTTAAAAAGTGAAAAAATGTTGTGAATATAAGATTTTAATAACTATATATAATTACAAAACAATATACTATATTATAGACAGTAAAAAAATAAATTACACATACACAAAATAAAATAAATTCAATGTGATTTTTGACATTGCTTTCCTTTTATAATATTTAGTATTTATTCTAAGAATGTTAGTTCAATGGCGATACCTCAACCTATTTCTTTCAGCAGTTTTGATGTTTTTATGCATGCAGTATGTACTACTGCACATGTATAACAGTTTTCTAGATAAGCTAAATAATTTTTATTCAGCTCTAGCTCTTGTTCCACGCACCAGCTGGTGTGTGTTGACAAAGGCCTTTGCCTTCTTCCTCTTTTAGTGCAATGGGGAAAGGAACCTAGTAGTGCAATTTAAGAATAATTTTCTGGCCTAAACTAAATGAAAATATACCTAAAGATTTTTAGAATGCAGAGGGCCGCATGAAAATATTAATCTATGGCCGTCCCTGCTCTAAGGCACATGAAGCAATGCCTGTTTCCGACTGTTATAACCTTTTTGGCCCTTCCTTTCGTTCATTGTAGTGGATACAATAAAATAATTTCTATCTGAGCGAGAAACCAAAAATACTCCTTGTAGCACCAAAGATGAACTGAAAGCAAGGATTATGGCAGCATTCACCAATTTAAACACGAAGACCTTCCAGAAGAGTTGCAAGAGATTCCGAAGTCGTCTAGAGGCCGTGGTTGAAGCCAATGGCAGTTTTATTCAATAATTTTACACTTTACTATTTCAAGCTATTTTTGTTTAATTCTAGTAAATATGTGTTCAAATGAGATGTCAGTGTTATTTTCCTTTTGGCATAAATCAAACAATTTCTCCATCAAAGCCCTGTATCATATTACCATAGTTCCTTAGTTCGTTTGCGATGTTGTAACGCCTGTCTATAAGTTATGTTGGATGATCGTCTTCAAGATTTATAGAATTTATTTGTTTGAAGCCATTTTAATCCTTGCTTTGAGAAAATGGCTGAATATAGATGATAGTTTACATATTTCTTAATGGGTTTCATGCTATGCATGACATCCGTATGAAAGTCTAAAGATGCTATTTAGGAAGATGACGCGAGATTTCATGTTAATATTTTGGTTTTGCAGGAAATTAAACTTTACGTCCAGTTGATGTTATAGCACTTTCTAATATTGATAACACTTTCCTTCCAATGATTTGCTTATGGTAGCGCGGAACAGCTCGATTATATTCTTTCCTTCTCGTGTTACATATGCCGAACATAACATATGCCTTCCGTATGAGTCTAAAGATGCTATTTAGTAACATGACACGAGTTTTCATGTTAATATTTTGGTTTTGTAGCATTTTACTCTACTATTTTATTTTTCCATTGCTCTGACTACATCCTAATTCAAAATAATTTTAAGAAATAATTGTGTCTTGTCTTATGCATGCCTTGTATTGGTTAGCTACTACAGTGTCCTCTGAAGCCATATTTCTTACTATTAGTTGAAACCACAATAGTTCATTATTCATTCACTAAAATACCTATGTCTTACATCCTAATTTAAATCACTATCTAGAGAGATATAATTCTTTGACCTCGTAGCCAAGAATTGTCATGACAGTGGATGTGTGTGTTAACGGTTACCCGTTCGGAAAATAGAAATAAGCGAGCCGAACTCGTTGCAGTTACATTCGCACAAGTGTAATGCTATAAAACCATCTCTTCTCCCCAAGCACGCTATGGGTTAAATGGCAACCCAGACAGGTCCGCATGGCCGTGGTTGGCAACCAGTCTAGTAAGACAATGCTGAATTTAAAACCATGTCTAATTCGGGAAAGGAACATACTATGCACGCAGACTGGACTCCCTGAAGATAGGAAGTTTTGAGGAGCGTGGAACCACCTCATAATTTGTGCTATTGCCAGGTCCTCTCCGACTCGAAACGGTAGCACCTGTTAGGGTCACACCTACGGGCAAATAGTGAACCCCCAAACAAAAAGTAAAACACTATGAACTTATAAAAATACTTTTTATAGTAAAATGACCAGTAGTACTTATTCATCGCAAAATGACCAGCAATACATTTTATAGTAAAAATACCTACGATTCATTTTATCTGTAGTTGAAGGCATGCAATTGCGTACAAATTAAATCGAGTTGAAGCCATAAAATTGTATCTGTCTATATTTCTGAGATGAGGTATTATGTACATTATTTATATTATTCGGATTATTGTCCTCATCTTTGTCACCATATTTGTTACAACGTTTCGGCCGTTGTACGCTACGCCCTTCTTCAGGTGGTTGGAATGTCGAACTTAACCTTGTGCCATATGTCCTTTAACTCAAGGACACATGACACAGTGGATAAAGGCATTAGTTAGATCCAGTGACAGGACCCAAAGAGTGTGAGTTCAATACCCGTTTAAGGCAGTGGAGAACTTTCAGCGGGAAATTAACAGGAGATAACTGATAAGTGACATCCATTAAACATGGCACGTGGAACTAGAACAGTCTACCCCAGTGAGCGAAATAAAGGGTTAAGTTCGACATTCCAACCAACTGAAGAAGGCCGGAGCGTACAACGGCCGAAACATTGTAATAAATATGGCGGCAAAGATGAGGCTATAGTCCGAATAATGTAAATAATGTCCATAAAATTGTGTTCAAAGTATTTAGATTTCGCTATTAAATAACCTATAGAGTTTATAAACAAAATCCTCGCTCCCACGGAATACGATTGTCCAACAATAACTGAAGTACACTTATACTCTGCATAGAACACCATTTAACCTTTCAGAATGACATATATGACGATATATACTGTTATGATAGAGAAAGTGGATACATTATTGTAGCGGTCATTTGCACATAAAACTGAATCTGAGAGTTCAATTCAAATTCCAACCGTGTCTGTTATTTTCACTTATTCCCATGGAAACGATATGAATAAATGTTTTCTTCAGCCAACTATAAATTAAATAGTAGGGTAGACTAGGTTCTCTAGCAGTATGTCCAACTCTAGCATTAGGAGAACTCAAAAACCGTGAAAGGGTAACGGGAAACCACCTCGTACTTATCCAGCATTTTTTCATTTAATCTTGTTGTGTTGTCTATTGAAACACCGAATCCCAGTTTCTGAGACGTTATTTTTCTCCTTCTTCCGATAATTAACTCGCGTTAAAGGATTTTATCCGATAATAAAAACTACATTACTTGATAACTTTCAACAACAGCAACTAAAATGCTAAAATGGATGGCAGGCACCTGTAAGCTGAGGAAAAATAATGACATCTTTAATATGTTGACATTTGACACTACTTCAAACAAAAGTTACAAATTTCAACCGACGGTAACAATGACTGTTCAATCAATGAATTCCAAATGTTTCCATATAAAGAAAAGGCTAATATTAACATTTGCATTACCCTTACTTGGTCTGGATTAGTTGATCTTTATGAATCTGTGGTTGGATGGAATCACGAGGAGGGACATCCGGATGTGTTAGTGCTTCATTCTGGGATGCCGTTATGTTTATAATCCAGATGGGTGATTGGTGATTTCCCATTATAAATAGATCATTCGTGGGGATAAGAGATCACTTTCTATGGGGACGACGTACCGTACTTACAGTTGTGACAGGCAGGGGTGGAACGAACGACGAAGTGGATACAGTGAAGAGAACCGATGTGGAGGGGAGAAACACTCACTCAGAAATTGCGTCTCGAAAACAGAGTTGACCACAAAATCTTATAGGATTTAGGGATTTTTATTCTGTTTCATTTACCAGTCTAATACTACTACTATTATTATTATTATTATTATTATTATTATTATTGCTGTTGCTATTGTTGTTGTCGTTAATCTATTTCAAACAAAGCAATTCAGTTTTTAAGAATATATAAATATATATATGCTTAAAACCTAATATACATGAAACAAACATTTACCTATTTATTCATATACACACACACAAACACACACACACACATATATATATATATATATATATATATATATATATATATACATATATATATATATATATATATATATATATATATATATATATATATATATATATATATATATATATATATATATATATATATATATATATATATATATATATATATATATATATATATATATATATATATATATATATATATATATATATATATATATATATATATATATATATATATATATATATGTATATATATATATATATATATATATATATATATATATATATATATATATATATGTTTCCCCTAGTATAATGACTTGGTGCACTACGTGCCACATGGTTTCAAACGGCCCTCAGATTTTGAATTCAGAGTTGTCCTTCTCCTAGAGCAGTTGCCATACAAGGCTATAGAACCCAGTCTATCCTGCTATTTACCCATAGATGGAGATAGAAGAAGCGGATTAATACCTTTCCCAATGGTATTAGCACGTAAGTGAATGTAATGCATTCGACTGGAATTCGAACTCGGCTCTCAGAGTTCGAATCCCAGCCGATATCCACTATTCCACCGTGCCTCTCTCTTTCTCTCTCTCTCTCTCTCTCTCTCTATCTATCTATCTATCTCTATCTCTATCTATCTGTCTGTCTATCTACCTATCAGTGCATATATATATATATACATATATATATATATATATATACACTACTCTCTCTCTCTCTCTATTTCACCATATATATGTGTGTGTGTGTGTATGGTGAGGCAAAAGTAGAGCACAATAGAGATAATTTATTAAAAGTATAATTACACAGGAAAATTTTATTTACTAGTTATTTAATTGCTATATGTGATATTCAAAATGTCCACCTTCTTTTTCAAAACACATTTCAATTCTGTGCCTGCATGATTCATTAATACGTTGGAGAGTTTCCTCTTGTCATTTTAACTGCATTCATATTTAATTCTTTCTTTAAGTTCTTCAATATTTCTTGGGCACGTTAGATAAACAACTGATTTCAAATGACCTCACAGGAAAAAAACAGTCGGTTGAAATTTTTAAAATCTTTCTATTATAAAAATTCCTCAGTAAAATAGTTTTCTCAAGTTCTTTAGATTATATCTTGGATTGTACATTTAACAGCGTCTATCGTAAATTTTAAGCTTAATAACTCAAAAATGAAGGATTTGCGGGCATATGTTCATATCGACGTTTTTTTTTTTCTTGTTTTAGGCGGGTTCCTCAACCAAAATAAGAAAATTCACCCTGTCCTCCGCTAGCTTCTACACACGCATGCGCCCGTCGGATCATTGACTGGAGGACCATTTCAAATACTTCCACACGCTGTCGAATGGTTTCGCAGGCACCCATGACACGTCGATGAAGATTATTTGCATTATGAATGTCTGCTGCATAAACCAATTGTTTTAGGTGACCCCACAGGTAAAAATCCAAAGGACTGAGGTCGAGGGAATGTGCAGGCATGGAACAGGCCCTTACCTGCTTATCCATCTTCCATCGTAGATTTCAACCAGTTTGCCGCGAACAATGTAACTAAAAAGTGCTGCAGCCCCATCATGCATAAACCACGTGCCTCTTCGTATTAACAGGGGTACACACTCGACCAAGAAAATACCGAGCAGGTGTGGAAGTGTGTTCAAAATAAAGTCACTGTAGATAGCTCCTGTAAGACGTGCTGGGAGAACATGGAGACCTACAAGGCAGACACCTATAATTCTAGCCCACATATTAATCGTAAACTGATGCTGGTGTCTCGCCTGTATTGTACCATGGGTATTCTACTCCCCCCACAAATGTTGGTTACGTAAATTTGTTATTCCATCTCTTCCAAATATTGCCTTATCCATAAACGAAACACACAACGGATCGGCTGTTTGTGCAATAAACCGTCGGCAACAAGTGATCAGAGGGCGAAAGACCCTGCACACGCTGCAAATAATACGAATACAGGAGCTGCTCTTGGTGTACCTTCCACGCCATGTACGACATGCTAGAGCCACTTGACGTGTGATGATATCTAGATCGTCTCCGACAGCCTGTAGAATGTGTTCCTTGTGGTTAGTCATACAAGCGGATCTCAGTCTTCCTCGATACATAGTTTGTAGTGCCATGGATCCTGTCTCAGCAGCAAAGATTGGGCGACTCGGTTGCCTTCGGTCTGGAAGCGCAATCTCATACAGCCGGCTAGCCTCGCGTCCACTACGATTCACACAGCCGTATGTTAAAATCTGCCTGCTAACGATATGAATATTCTGCCATTATTAAACGGGACACTTCTCAGTGAACTCACTACTATACACGTTAAACGTTAAGAGACACACTCACCAAAAACGTACACGAAATGGCAAATATAACCTAGTCTACATGTCAACACAGTGCCAGCTACTGTAAACTTTCTTTAAACTTAATAACTCAAAAACGAATGATTTGCTGACATATGTTTATATAGCCTTTTGTCCTTGTTTTGGTTTGATGAACGCTGTTCCAATGTTTGGAAAAGTATTTTTGATACATTCTTTTTCGAATGTACATCCGCAGAGACAGGCGCATGCCTGCACGCGAATAAACGTACATACGAACATCAAAAATACAGACAAAACTGACACCAGTATTAAATGTATATAAAACGAAGAATTGACTTATTTAGTGCTATAATTTGTGATAAAGATCAACCCCCTTCAAGTAGGCTCAAATATTGTCTACTTTTATCTTTCTGGAGACGTCTCGAGACTAGTCATAATCATAAAATCGGTTTGAATAAATTTTATAAATGTTAGTCCCAATCCCATCGTGAATGATTACAAAATACTTTCCATCTCCAGTTCATAGGGAAAACTGCATAAGCAAAATAAATTAATCCAAACAAATTACCAAATCACACCTGTTAAAAAGACGAAATAGAATAAAAAATAAGAAACAAAATCAATGGACCCAAATAAATAACGTAAACAATAACCAAATTAGCAAACCATTATTACCAAAATATTAGTTAAACTATAAAAATTAAAGCAAAAATCGGACGAAAAAAATAGCTATAACTGTTATACAATGATAAAAGAGAAAAAATACTACGTTACTTAAAAACCGAAAATATACTGTATAAATAATAAGTAAAATAAATTGATCTAAATTTATATATATATGAGCGCGTGGCCGGCTGGTTCGAACTTTCGCTTTCTGACAATGAGGCCCGGGTTCAATTCACACCGTAAGGAAGATGTCTAATGGCTGTCAGTTTTCTCCTGTTAATTCCCCCTCTTTAGGACACATGGAACAGTGGATACAGGCGTTCGTTAGATCCAGTGACAGGACCCAAAGAGTGTGAGTTTAATAACTGGTTAAGGCAGTGGAGAACTTTCAGAGGGGAATTAACAGGAGATAATTGACATCCATTAGACATGGCACTTGGAAATAGAACAGTCTACCCCAGTGAGCGAAATAAAGGGTTCAGTTCCAACCAACCACCTGAAGAAGGCTGGAGTGTACAACGGCCGAAACGTTGTGATAAACATGGCGGCAAAAATGAGGACAATAGTTCGAATAATGTAAAATGTTAACGTTATGCTTTCAACAACAGATATTTTTTACATAATTTTATACTTTCAAGATATGTTTTTTTTAGATGTATTGTCTGTAGATAAAAAAAATGTATTGCTGGTAATTTTTTACTATGAAAAATGTATTTTTATATTATTTTAGTATTACATTACTTGTCATTTTGCTATAGAAATATATTATTTCTCAATATTATTATAAAAAATATACTATTGCTTTTTGTTTGGGGGTTCACTATTTGCACATAGCTAGGACCCTAACAGGTGTTATAAACCCGGGTCAGGGTGAACCTGGGAACAACAGCAATTTAGAGATGGTTTCACGCTCCTCAGAACCTCCAATCTCCTGATCAGGAGCACTATTTAAAAGAAAATATCGATTTGAACGAGGAGTACATAGTTTTCAAAAGTTTGTAATGGCATGCAAAATCTGGTAAATTCTGTGAAAAATCAATTGTTTACCGAATTGAAGATGATATCGAGAGGTGTGAGGGGAAATATTTATGAAGAGTAGAAAAACCGAACAAATATTTTACTGAAGAGTAATAAAAATGAACACCATTTACAAAAACGAAGGTTGACATAGTAATTGAATAAAAAAGACGAAGACTAAAGCTAAAAAGCAAAAATGAAAAAGAAACATTAAAAATATGTCAAAAAATACGTAGAAAATGAAGGCAATCAGATATGGACGACAGGTTTTTCACTATTTTTGACCCATTTTAAAGCCTAATTGCCACTCAAGTTAGAGGCCTAATGATGGGGATGTCTTTAAGGCATATAGGGAAAGAGCAAGAATTGTATATTATGAGGATATTATGTAAGATACGTAACGATCAAGAATTTGGCAATTAGGGAAGTATCACCATAGGAGTTCGTTCCACATTACAACAATTCTGGGTAAGAAGCTGACATAATGGAGCATACTCCGTAACAAAATGAAAATAAGACGACTCAGTGTACGTGGCATGGTGATTCCTAGCTGTGAAGGTTTGGACTAGTGGAACCAAGGAATGTAGCTTGCCTGAACATCTGCCATGGAAAATAGTAGTGTGAGAATATCAAAGCTTTGCCTGTAGGAAAGCGGTTGGATAGCGAAAAACATCTCACCACTCACAAGGACGCGCAAACATTTGTGAATTCGGTCGAAGCTAGAAAGTAAGGACTGGGCAACTTCGCCTCAGATGTTATAGATATACTTCATTTTTGGTTTGATTCGGTTCTTGCAGAGATAGAGCATGGAGGGAGAAGTCAGGTACTTACAGGGAGCCGGCCATCATTTTCCCGCGACTTTAGCGATGGATCTTATATATGAGTTTCCACTTGATGTCTAGTGTGAGCTTAAGTCGAGAAAGAAAAGAAGAAAGAAAGAACATAAAACCTGAATTATGATTGTAATTATAGAGAATTAAAGAAAAATTGAAAATAACAAGGAAAGAAAAAAAAAGCAACAGAAGATCGAATTTAACACTAAAGAAAATGGGAAAAATGAGAGACGAGAATAGAAAGGAAAGAAAAAAAGAAAAGAAAAAAAAAATTATTATTTATTGAAAAATGGAAGAATGAAAGAAAAAATGTCTCTGTGTGTATGAATGCATGTGTGAGTGCATAACTATATGTGTGTGTGAATGTATGTGCGTGTGAATGCCTGTGTTCCTGCATATGTGTCTGCGATGACGTCTATGCATATCACTATAGGAGAATCTGATTAAATGCGTGTGAACAGTCTTTTTTTTTTTCCAAATTGGTTATGGCAACACTGAGATTATACTGTCTCATCACTGGTTCAAATATATATATAAATATATATATATATATATATATGTGTGTGTGTGTGTGTGTGTGTGTGTGTGTGTGTGTGTGTGTGTGTGTGTGTGTGTGTGTGTGTGTGAAAATTAGGAACAAACTTATTAAGTTAGAGTCTTATCACAAACAGCTTCTGGCAAAGAAAATATATTAAGACCCAGCAGAACAACAAACAAGATGGGAACATTTTTTCTAACGTAAATCTAATTTTTAAATTAAGTAGCTTCACATAAAGTTTGATGGTAATAATTTTTTTTTTCATTTTTGTCTTTGACTTTTTTCAGATGAAATGAAACGGATTGTTCTAAGTTAAGAAACAGAGGAAGAAGAGAAGTAAGAAAGAATGGACGTTGTATTGAAGAAAGAATGAAACAAACAACACGAAATGGGACGAGATAGAAAAAAAGAAGAAAAAAAAAGATTGAAAGAAAAAAAGAAGATGAGTGAAAAAGTAGAAAAGAAAGGAAAATCAACAAATTGTAGAAAGAAATAAAGAAGGAAAGAAAGAAAAAGTAGGATGTAAGGAAAAAATGAGATAAGAAAAAAGAAAGAAAGAAAAAAGAAAGAGTCAAGTATACGAGAAAAAGAAAGGATAAAGCAAACAAAAACAATAATATATTATTGAAAGAAAGGAAGAAAGAAAGAAAGAAAGAAAGAAAGAAGCTAAGTGAAAAATTAGAAAAGAAAGGAAAAACAAAAACTTGTAGAAAGAAAAAACGAAAGAAAGAAAAAGTAAAATGTAAGGAAAGAATGGGATAAGAAAGAAAGAAACAAACAAACAGTGAAGAATACGAGAAAATAAAGGAGAACGCAAATAAAGACAATAACATATTATTGAAAGAAAGAAAAGAGATAAGTGAAAAAATAGAAATGAAAGCAAAAACAACAAAGTGTCGAAAGAAACAAAGATGAAAGAAACTAGTAGAATGTAAGGAAAATGAGAAAAGAAAGAAAGAAGAAAGAAAGAAATATGAAGAATACGAGAAAAAGAAAGGAGAAAGGAAATAACATTATTGAAAGAAAGAAAAATAAAAATAAACGAAAAAGAAGAAAATAAAGGAAAAACAACAAATTGTAGAAAGAAATAAAGTACGAGAAAAGCAAATGTAGAATGTAAGGAAAAAAAAAGGAAATTAAAAAATAACATATAATTGAAAGAATGTAAGAAAGAAAGGAAGAAGGTAAGTGAAAAACAGTAAAGAAAGAAATAATAATAATCTGTAGAAAGAAATAAAGAGAGAAATAAAGAAAAAGTAGAACGTAAAGAAAAATGAGATGAGAAAGAAAGAAAGAAAGAAAGAAAGAAAGAAAGAAAGAGCGAAGAATACGAGAAAATAAAAGGAAAGGGGAAATAAAAAAATAGCATTATTGAAAGAAAGTAAGAAGATAAGTAAAAAAGTAGATAAGAAATGAAAACAAATTGTAGAAAGAAATAAAAAACGAAACAAAGAAAAAGTAAAATGTAAGGAAAAATGGAATAAGAAAGAAAGAAAGAAAGAGAAAAATAGATAAATGAAAGAGATAAGAAAACAAAACATACAAATATATCAAAAGAAAGAAGCCGAAAAAAAAGTCCGTTTCAAAATGGCTCGTAAGAAATCTAAGAACGTTTCCTTTGCATCACATAAAAAAACTGAAACGCGTGAGAGAACCAAAGATTCTAAAAACTTTTTCGCTTTCATTAATGATTCACTTGGCTTTTTAGCTTCTGTCTTTGTCTTCTTTTTTGCGCAGATGTCGCAAAGTTATTTCCACCTTTACCTGGTGTTGCCCGTATTAACACATCTTACAAAATGGCTATTAGTCTGGTGACAGATGGCGTATACATACATACATATATATATATATATATATATATATATATATATATATATATATATATATATATATATATATATATGTGTGTTTTTGTGTGTGTATCATGCGTCATTTATTCTCCTGGGCGTAGGACATATATACACAGAGACATGACATAAGTAAAGAGAAGCCATTATTGAACTCAGACTTCGCATTTAATAAAGATATACGCGTTGACAGTGACTCAATTTACAACAAAAACGCAAGCGATAGTCATTTCAGTGTGCCCTAGAGCCCGGAAAGACAGAAAATGGTCAGTTTTCGAAAGGGGGTGCATTGCTGGTCAATCTGATGGTTGAAGGAGTCAGTCTGAAATCAAATTGAAATTAAGAATTCTACTATCGAAGCTGACCTACATGATCATCCAATTTGCTCATGAAAGAAAGGAGATGATTACATTTTGTTAAAAAATGTCTTAGAAAACGACCATTAGAGAAGTACATTCCGTCAGCGAGATATAAAATGGAGAACATGTGGGGTGAAAAAAAGTGTAGAGTGTGTTCGAATCGAGTCACGAACTGTCGTATTGTGTTTACTTTATATGCACTATTATAACGGAACAGCCAGAAGATGTGGAAAATAATGTAGAGTGTGTTCGAATCGAGTCACGAACGGTAATATTGTGTTTTTTCTTATATGTGCTGTTATAATAGTACAGCCAGAAGATGTGGAAAATAGTGTGTGTCTTGTTCGAATCGAGTCACGAACGGTAATATTGTGTTTTTTCTTATATGTGCTGTTATAATAGTACAGCCAGAAGATGTGGAAAATAGTGTGTGTCTTGTTCGAATCGAGTCACGAACGGTAATATTGTGTTTTTTTATTATATGTGCTGTTATAATAGTACAGCCAGAAGATGTGGAAAATAGTGTATGTCTTGTTCGAATCGAGTCACGAACGGTAATATTGTGTTTTTCTTATACGCACAGTTATAACGGAAGAGCCAGGAGAGGTGAAAAATAGTGTAGAATGTGTCCAAATCGAGCAAAAAACGGTAGTGTCGTTTCTTTATTGTAAAATAATGTTCTTATAACATTATATAATAAAGATAGGACATTACCATTCTGATAGCAGTGCAGCCAGAAGCATGTCACTACTTAAAAAAAATCAATGATCAAGAAAGAATGCAATAGGCCATTAATATGTAGACAGACCTTTGAAGCTTGTTATATTGCAGTTTTTGTCTTTTTTATTGTATGAATCCCCCCACCAATTCTACGAGACGGGAAACAAACTTTACCGAACATAGTACTTGAAAAAAGCATATATCGATTTTTTTATTAATCATTTCAACCAAGCAAGTCAATAATACTACTAAACGCAAGTAGTTATTTGGAGGGGGGGAGAGAATGAGAAGACTTTAGTGAGGAGAAAGAACGATAAAGTATAGGTAGCAGAAAAAAAGATTTTGATTGGCTTTGCATTTAAACCATTAAATGGTGTACGTGACAGGGAAGCAAGAAACCGGAAGTGAGTTCCACGGGCGAGAAGTGCGGGAAAAGAAATCGGAATAGGACTTACGATTACATCTAGCTATTTCAACTTTAAAACGAGGAGACTTGTTTGTCGTAATGCGCTTAAATTCATTCAGTCGAGGTACCAATGTGGAAGCTCGTTATATATTTATAGAAAGGAAAAAGAGAAGCCACGTCACGTCAGTGTGAATATCGAGATGACAGGTCAGGACCGATAAAATTACAGATCTTTCTTACGATTTTGACCGTGAATATAACAAGATCACCAGACCAGATATGGCAGCAATAAAATATTTACCAGGTGGAAATACTTAAAGTGAATTATAACAACGTTTTTTTTTTTAAATAAAACGCGTAAAATCGCTTTTATTAGAATCATCACTGCACGAGTTCAGAAAGCCGTTTTAGAGCGTTTGGACACCACATGCAGCTGCGGGTGTGAGTAGGGCAAATTAAGCAGACGCGGCACCTCCCCTTCAGGCTATTTTTGAATTTGAGTAATTTCTCACCAGATAAATGTTAATAGCAGAGACAACCGAGAGCTTTATACATGGGTAGCAATCAATCTAGATTGCCATCTTAGGTTAAAAAGCCCGGTTGGCTTTACTATTGACACATAGCTGGAGGTAGAAGAGATGGGTTCCAACTTTTTCAAAGGTATTTGGATGAAAGCGAAACCAACAGTCTCGGTTTGAATTTAACCTCGGGAGGACAAACCCTCTTTCCAGGGCTATAACCACTACGCTACGTACACACAGAGAAGCGAAATTCTTAACAATCTAACTTTCACAAGAAATCTAAAGGTGCCCTGTATTTCTTCCTTGTACAAGTGATATTGCCGTTGGGTACAAAGATGTCCCTCTAGTTTAAACAAGCGCATTGAAAACAAAATCATAAATTGTCGAAAGCAATCAAGAGAGTTTAGAGAATTGCCCTCCGCCGCCCACCCTCGATGAAGACTTATTAAATAAGGGGGAATAATTTTGGAGAAAATTATAGAGATTTACTGAAGGAAAGAGCCAAAAGGGGAAACAGAAGTCCTAATCTAACAATCAGAAAACATGATGCAGGCAAAACTATCACTATAAATATCGTTGAGTTGATAATATCCAAAGGAATAGATGATCGCTGCAAGGCGTTTAGATAGATAGATAGATAGATAGATAGATAGATAGATAGATAGATAGATAGATAAAGAGCAAGTGAGAGAATGTACACTGTAATAGATACATACTTTCATACAAACATACATACATCCATATGTACAGACTGTAATAGATAAAGAGGGGGAGACAGAATCAGACAAACATTGCAAATGATAGATAGATAGATAGATAGATAGATAGATAGATAGATAGATAGATAGATAGATAGATATGTACAGACTATAGAGAGAGTGACACAGTGAGAGAATATATAGACTGTAATAGATAGAGAGAGCAGGGAGATAGATAGATAGATAGATAGATAGATAGATAGATAGATAGATAGATAGATAGATAGATATGTACAGACTATAGAGAGAGTGACACAGTGAGAGAATATATAGACTGTAATAGATAGAGAGAGCGGGGAGATAGATAGATAGATAGATAGATAGATAGATAGATAGATAGATAGATAGATAGATAGATAGATATGTACAAATAGTGATATATATAGAGAGAGTATACAGATTGTAATAGATACAGATGGGGGAGACAGAATCAGACAAACATATTGTAAAAGATAGAGAGAGAGAGAGAGAGAGAGAGAGATAGAAAACAATGTATTGCGAATGTGGTTTAGAATGGATGGAAAAGATGGTGGTACGATGTGGAGGTTATGAGAGTAATGTCGACAGATAACAATTGACTCTTGACATGAAGAGGCCAACAGTAAAGTAGGGAAGAATTCAGTGACAGTGTTGAGAAAATGCTGTGTGAATGGAACTTCGATCCCTTGCAAGTAGCATGACGTGATCTTCCATCAAAGTTGAGAATTGCTGAGAATAAAGAATGGTGATCATCTGAACATTTGCAATGATAATAATGATAGAGTAACAACAACCTTGTAACATTGTACCTATGAGAAACATGTTGTAGAGTGGAAGATCGATTAAACGATTTTGTATTCTACCAAAGTTGTAAAGTAAGGATTGAGCTGCTCCAGTCCAGTTAGAGCAGCAATACTCAATTTGGGGCCTAATCCATTGTTCTCAAACTCTAGGGATATTATGTGATTAAGAATAGGTTCAAGGATAGGTGAACGGATTCCCAACCAAGGTGCCAACGAACTCCTATGAACAACCAAGTGTCCCCGTACCCACAAAGCTGAGTTAAACCAGATTTGTAATTATGCGCGATATAAAATGAGAAAAAGAAGGGGCAAGCAGACAAGATTTCGCACGTATTCCATCTGTTCGTTTTTATTAGGTGCATCTTTTAAAAGCAAATTTAAAAGAAAAATTTATTCTTGAAATGCATGACGGTTGGCATACCTATTTACCTCTGTCACAAAATACAACTTAAAACTCTGAACTTATTATTATATCAGAAGTAGATAGATTTGCCTATCGTCCGGTTCACGCTCCTACCCGATCTTTTAAACGGCAGGAGAAGGTCTGTCTCTTGTTTGCTGTTTAGGATTGGGTTTCTGGTTACTTCTAAAGTATTTTCTTTCTCTTCCACTTCCGGTAGCCGTTTGCGTCATTATCACTTTACTTGGGCTAGTGCCTCTTACTCTGTAAGTGGCTCTTGGGCCATGTATAGGAGAAACAGCATTGCAAAAAAGAATCCTATATTTTTTCTAAATTAGGGTCTGCTCGGCAATTATCTTTTCCTTTCATGTTGTTAACATTTTCTTGTTTCAATTATAGAGTTAAACAAATACAAGACTTCCTTCATTGAAATTTCAGTTTATTTCAAATTTAATATTTTTTTCTCAAACCCCTTTCTGTTGTACGCCTTATTTGTTCTTTTTGCTTGATCTACAACCTCCAAATAAGTATGAAATTAAATCTATTCCTCCCCTCGTCATGAGATGAATCCCCATTTTCTGTTCTGTTCTTTAGCTATGAAAAATCCTCATTTTCTTTTGCGTACAGTTGTTATTTTTCACTTCATCTCATCGCGAATGTTTATTCTTTCTTTAGCTATAAAAAAAATTCCTCATTTTCTGTTTTGGGTGTTGTCTGTCAATCTCGGCTACACCCCACGCCAATACGAATAGCCAACTTTATCATTTCTCAACTTATGAAAAAAATTTTTTTCCATTTCCTCACATCCGAGTTGTATCGCATCTCAATCGCCCTCACTTCCAACAAGCCCCCACCTACACCACTAATAAGCCCCCCACCCCAATAAGTTCCCGATACAAGTCATGAACATTTCAATAATATATTTATCAAAACTGTTTTTTAAAGTATATATAAATTCGATGCTTATTTCCGCTTTCCCTAATATGAGTTGTCAAATTTATTTCTTATAAAATTAAAAAGAAAAAAGAAACCCAGACAATATTGAGAATTACTTTTCTATCACTTTCTATTAAGATAGAGGTGGCGGTGGAGGAGATCGAGTTTTCTTCCCGTCATTGGGGAGGAACTAGAACAGACCTTGGTGACCTTAAAATTGAATGACTGTTTTTACTTGGTGAATAGGTCAAATTCAATATGGGTAGAAAATGGGGTGAGGAGAGAATTTATTAAACTTATTAAAATTTGAGGAAAATATTGGTTGCGAACAAAATTCATCGCAAGCCACAAACAGTCCACGGGCAGAAAATATTACAAGTAAGACCCTTTCGTTTTTAGTGCGTTCATTCATACTTGTATTCATATGCGTGATATTAAATATTATATATAAATATATATATATTTATAATAAACATATATTAACGATATTTGCCGGTTTATAATAATATATATATATATATATATATATATATATATATATATTTAGGTCGGTAAATGTCGTTAATACTGTATATATATATATATATATATATATATATATATATATATATATATATATATATATATATATATATATGACATTTTTTTTACTCAAAAACAATATTAGGGGTAAATATATATATATGAAAAAGTGAAAAAAAAAGTTCGTGTGACGCGTTTCTTCCTTTATGACTTCACCGTACTTAATTTGTTATGCTGGTTCGACAACACATGCAGACAGACGAGGGATGTTGGGAATTTAAAATTTTAACTTATCACGGATCGTTAAGGAATACTGCCCAGTATTCCCTGATAATCCGCGTAGGTAAAATCTTGGTAGGTTTATCTGGCTCTTTAGGTTTAATTAGGTTTGCTCTATTTAGCGTATTGAGCACTTTATTTAGTTATTTTACTTACTGGTATCGGGTTTTTTTCTTTGGACTCTGAACTTGGATGCTAGACGATTGTCTTCGGTGACGTACATGTTCTCTATTCTTTCGTTTTTGTACCTTGGGTATTGGTCTGTTTATTTACATATTAAAGTGGCCAATGTTTTCCGGACGAGTATAATTTCTTATATTTATAAAATTATTATATATATATATATATATATATATATATATATATATATATAATCTAACGGACTTCATTTAGATTTCTTTTTGTTTTCATAACTTTTGATATTAGATATATTACACTGTGATAATAGAAGATCTGCCAGGATTGCTGAAATGTTGCAAGACCCAGGGCGCAAATTTATTGTTTATTGTGACCTTGCAATGAAGTCCCTCTCTGAACTTATTCGTCTTAGTGAATTGTATTCTCCATTGATCAGAGTGGCACCAATATAACAAATTTAGTCCGATAAAGTCCTAAAGTACGAAAACGAGTCACACGAAAACTATTTCTACGTTGTCATACATATATATATATATATATATATATATATATATGTGTGTGTGTGTGTGTGTGTGTGTGTGTGGTCAAGGAAATAACGCCACTGTGAAATATATGAAAAAAGAAGACAATAAAAGAACAGGAATTAAGCAGACAGTGGATAACAATTGAAATTGCATTTAAATTTTTGAAGAAAAAGTGACTTTAAAGCAAGAGGCTCGAAGAGAATTTCACAAGCGAGAAGTCCGATAGAATAAACTCTTAGTGTAGAACTTACGGTTACATGTAGCAATTTCAATTGAGAAATGATCCCAAACTCATACTACGCTTACGAGGGTCAGCTGAAACATTCATAGGCTAACAAAGATACACTCATGTAATGTAACTAAATGAGGTTTATTTTTTAACATATTTCCTCTTCCGGTTCACACAGTTCATCGATAGGTGTTGCAATGTTTGGATTACATTGGTGAAGATGCTTTCATCCTGTTAGTCAAAAAAGTCAACAGCAGCAGATATGGCGTCACCATCACTGCGATACTGATTCTCAACCATTTTTTTTTCATGTTGGGAAACAGATCTAGTCAGATGGGACCAACTCAGAAGAATAAGGAAAGTTATCAACCAGTTCAAAGCCACAGTCAGGTACACCTAAAACCAAGGACCTGTGTGCTGAAGCATTATCCTAATCATACAAGACAACTTTCATCAGTTTTGCTGGGCATTTGGTCTTGATAGCCTTTCGTAACTGTCTCATGAAGTAGGCATAGTACTCTCTATTGATGCTGTGGCCCTCTTGAAGTTGGGCAATAAATAAAAACTCTTTTGCATACCAAAACGCCGAGGCCATCATCTTACCTGCATATGAAACCACCTTGGTCTTCTTTAGAGCATTTGACGAGGCGTGTTTCTCCTACATGGATTGTCTCTGGCTGAGATGAACTCAACACTCATCCTGGGTCAAGAAACCAGATGGATCTGCATTAAACAATGTCAGCTTCTCTCCTGATGTGATCAGCCTGGTGCGCCTTTGATAAGGTGTCAGAAGACGTGCCCCCGCCCTCTACCGAGCAGAAAACTCTGTAATACCAAGTTCATTGTGCAGAATATTCTCAGCTCTCTCACAGCTTATCCTAATAGCATTGGCTATTTGGTTCATGGCCAACTGCCTGTCATCCATCATCATGTGGAAAACACGATCAACGTTTTCCTCAGTGGTGGCAGTTGCAACCTTCAGCTATAGGGTGATCTTCAAGACTCTCCCTTCCCCTACTAAATTTAGCTACCATAACTGTATGAATGTCCTTGGAAGCTAAACCTCTTTTTCGGCAGTTCTTTATGACTACCACATAATGTTGAAGACTTCTTTGGACAATCAGATGTGAGTTTACCTGGAAATAAGCAGTTATTAATAAGAGTTGACATTAATGAATGCAATATTTTACAGCTCTAACATCACTCCTTCGTAGTCAGCCTATGAACTATTCAGCCCCTAAGTTCGTAAAGTCGAGGTAGAAAAAAGCAAAGCTCATCAGAACAATTAACATGAACATATAGAGAGAAAAGGCACAGGGGATTTACATTACGGGAAAGTGGCTGATGCCAAGATGCTAGTTCAGGAACTTTAAAATTGCGGATTTGTCCTTGGACTTTATCAGGAATCTCTAAATGCATAGCAGAAGTACCAGACTAGACGTGTCAGTAATATTCAATGGTGGGTTGAATGGACTAATTATAAACATCTAAAAGAGATTCTGTCGAGAAACGTCGTCTAGTACGACACCGCGCTTCAAATATCCTTATATTAGACCTAAAAATATATTAAGCTTATATGAGATATATCCTCACGTTGCAATCATGTCAACATGAAAGCCCTTGGGGGCTAAACCATTTTCTTTTTTCCTGAGGGTTTTTGTTAACAGTACAATGCCAATTTTGTCCATTTTCAAGAGAAGTTGCTACTAGATACTTCTTTGAAGTCAGATGCCAGTTTACCTGAAATAAACAACGCAGTTTTTAATAATGCTGAAATTAATGCATGCAAGTTTTCACTGCTCTAGCATCGCTCCTCCATAGCCAACCGAGTAACTTTTCAGTCCAACCCTCGTATTTCTCTATGGAAACTATCAGATTTGAAGCCATTGTCCCTCTGACAGTTTTTACAATATATTCCGGTTCTATTCACGTCGTTTTTTCTAACTGAAGATTTCGATATTATTGAGAACGTTGAATTTTATTAATTTCCATAATGGTGTTTATTTATGTATTTTTCTTTATTCCTAGAGGTTTACACACTATTTCTTTTGATTTTGGTTTCTGTTGTTTTCAAAGTTCCATTATATATATATATATATATATATATATATATATATATATATATGTGTGTGTGTGTGTGTGTGTGTGTGTTTGTGTGTGTAACATTATACACTTCACAAAATCTTATAAGGCAAAAATTATATATTTAGTAAAGATATATTTTCGAGGTCTCATCATTTGAAACTCATTTTTATGACCTATCCAATCACAGACCAAACATAGATATTAAATATTAAAAAAAATTTAAAAAGAGAAAAACGATATTCAGAAAACGACATCTGACACCCGGTAAATCAATCAGTTTTCTTCATGGATATCTTTCATCTATCAATATTTTTTTTTGGGGGTGGGGGTGACGTGGGGGCGGGCAACATAAAGGATGAATCTGACTGTCCCATAAAAAGCAATAGATTAAGGTCCAGTTACCAAGAGAGACACAAAGGTAGATAGAGGTCTGTTTTGGATAACAGTGAAAAAGATAAACATAGCTCGGTTTCAATGAGAGTAAAAAAGGTAGACACAGGCCCCCGTTGCCAAGGGAAACACAAAGGTAGACATAGGTCTAGTTTGCATGATAGTGAAAAAGTAAACATAGGTTCGGTTTGCATGGATGGTAAAAAAATAATATATGTAGGTCCAGTTACCAAAGAGAGAAACAAATGCAGACATAGGTCTGGGTTGCAAGACAGTGAACAATGTAAAGATAAAGAAAAAAAAATAAACAGGTGGTCGTACTAGACGACGTTTCTCGACAGGTGGTCGTACTAGACGACGTTTCTCGACAGGTGGTCGTACTAGACGACGTTTCTCGACAGAATCTCTTTTAGATATTTATAATTAGTCCATGCAACCCACTATTGAATATTACTGACACATCAAGTCTGGTACTTCTGCTATGCATTTAGAGATTCCTGATAAAGTCCAAGGACGAATCCGCAATTTTAAAGTTCCTGAACTAGCATCCTCTCTGCAGGGAGGTAGTCTCCTTATTCTTCTCCCCTCCCGAATCGACACTAATAGTACTTGGATGTACGCGGAAATAATTTACACTGACTTATTCAGGTAGATTAATCATAACTGATAAGAAAAGGAAAAGTCCAATTTCAACTACTCCTTTTCAAGATAGGAAGACCCGTCACATTTGGAAGATGTGCTCCAATATACCATTCTTATTATTCCTCATTTATTTAAATTTTGTGTTTTATTAACGTTCTGATTATCTCTTGTCGTCAGGTTTTATTTTGTGATGTGCTGGGCGCCGCCAATACGTAGAAAGAGAGATTAGTCTGTCCTGCTATTTACTCTTTATTTGGAGAAAATAGAGATGGGTCCATATCTTTTCCAAGAGATTTACTCCGAAGAGTAATGTAAGAGACTCAGTCAGTATTTGAACTAAGCTCGCTTATTTTGTGTTCCACGTCGATAACCGATACGCTAATCAGTGACGTCTTCTTTATGTGTTGTGTTCCCTCATGGCTCTCCACAACTTCCTAACCCTTGTATCTTTTAAAAAACTTTGTCTTATAATGTTATTTCCCCTAAGCCCTGTTCTGCCATCCATTTGTTATGTTAGGTGTTTTATTCCTCTGTCTCGCTTGACCTCTAACTGCCTCGTGAGTATCAGATTTTCTAAGCCCTCTTTCCTTATTATTGTTATGCTCCAAACTATCTCTTCCTGATATTAAATATTAGTTTCTTTTGTTTCCATTTTCTCTAAAACTTGATCATTGCTGTCATGATGGGTTCATGTTAAACTCAACATCCTTCTGTAGAACCATATTTCTATTGTTTCAAGTCCCCCCACTTTTATACAGGAAGACAGATAACACATTGTAGTTTAGTACTGTTTTGTTATTTTCTAACGAAATTTTTCTAAATCTTAGTACTCTGCTTAGCTTTTGGATTGCTTCCTTGACGGTCCTAACACGCCTTCGGATTTCAGTGTCACACTTTCCGTCCTCTGTTAAAACACTTCCCAAATATTTAAATTTCTGCACTTGGTATCGCCGATTTGCAAGTCGCACTTTAGGCTCCTCCTTTTGCTAACAACCATGCATTCTGTTTTCTTGCAGTTGATGTTTAATCCTTTCTATTCCGTTTCGTTCACTGCCATATGTATGTACTCCGATGAAATCTTAGATCTTGGCCTACCTTGGATTGATATTCATAGTCTTAATAAACGTAAGCCTCATTAGTAAGCTTAACTTAATACTCCAATGGGGAGAAAGAAAGAATCGAAAGATTATGTTACGCCTCCCTTCCGAGCAGAAAATATCTAGGGAATACGTTTCAAGAAAGCATAGATATGTTCGTAACTGTGCTAAGTCTAGCGTAAAGACTCGGGTAGATAAATAGGCTCTTTTTTTTTCAATAAGTAAAAGGCGATGCATATATGTTTTGGTTTGTGTTTCTGTTAAGCACAAGTTATATTACTCACAGACTTTGTATAAATGAACTGAAATGAAATTTAGCTAATCAACAGGCAATCATGAACGCTTTAAAACCAGTGAAAATTTAATCGAGGTAAAAAAAAGTAAATTTTACTTCAGAATTTTACATCAGAAACTAAAGTCAGTAAATAAAGTCTTGAACAAAGAACCTCCCTAACTATTTTATTTATGCGACCCAATCATCCTGACTTAATTTTCTTTATATATATATATATATATATATATATATATATATATATATATATATATATATATATATATATATATATATGTAAGGAGAAAAAGGTGTTTTGTCTTGGTACTCACCGATCTTAATGTTGCTTAACTTCGGTGATCGTGCGGGAACCGGTAGTTTCAACGTATGCTCGTAAGGAGATAGATAGATAGATAGATAGATAGATAGATAGATAATCTTTAAAGCCATTACGTATTTAGCAAATTTTGAAGATCTCTTATTATATCTATCTATTTTGACACAAGAGGTAAAAAGGCCACCCTATAGATTTCGAGACTAAAAACTGAATGCTGCGTGCCTTTTTCTAAACTAAACCGGCGAAGTGGGTATCTTCCTGAAGGGTTTAATCATATATACCTGGGGGTGGCCAAACCGCGGCTCGTGAGCCTCAAGCGCTTCTTTGACCTTATTAGGTTCATAGAAATATGTTGGCTGACTTCCTTTTTTCACATATAATATAAAAGATAATTAAGAAAAATGTCAAGCTTTATAATTACTTACTTTGTATGAATTGAGACCCCATTGGATAAAACTTTAAGTTTAACATTAATGTGTATGAAAGAAAAACATATGTGCAAATTTTGTTCGTGTCTTGCGCCTCTCAAACATATGAACTTTATCGTATGTGGCTCTTACTTTAAGCAAGTTTGGCCACCCAAATTTGTATAGATATGAACAGGCATAGATAGATAGATAGATAGATAGATAGATAGATAGATAGATAGATATGAACAGGCATAGATAGATAGATAGATAGATAGATAGATAGATAGATAGATAGATAATGAACAGACATAGATAGATAGATAGATAGATAGATAGATAGATAGATAGATAGATAGATGTACACAATATCAGAAATGAAAACGTGACACTATAAACTTCTACCTACCAAGACTGCATCTATAATTTACCGACACGTTGGCCAAAAAAGGTTGGATTGAATATTTACTTAGTTTACGTTTTGTTAAGGCGAGAAAACATCATTTTCTTAACTGCTCAAAGCGTTAAAAAAAATAGACTTCTTTACCAACCCAAAGGTATGTGTGTGCTTGATTAGGCAAATAAATTTCGCCGGTCATTATTTGTCGGCTAACAATGAAGATCTATTGCGCTAAACTAGTGATCTAGTCCATATTTATGGTTTCCATAATAATGTGTTAACGTTGAAACCTATGTATGTATGTGCAAATGGACATTCATAATTTACACCCAGTAAATTGTTTACCAGAATAATACAGCGAGAATTTTTTTTTTAACTTATTTTTTTCTTGCAAACAAAGTGCGAATTATTTGAATTCCGAAAAGGGGAAACAGAAAGAAAGAAAACATATATGTGTGTGTGTGCGTATGTGTCGGTGTTGGAAAGTTGTCTGCCTGACTAAGAAACCCTTCCTCACAAAATTCTTGTATGTTCATTTTGAGAACTTCATTAAGCCGATATCTTTTCGACAAGCTTTTGTATATATATATATATATATATATATATATATATAT